CTTCACAGTAATATGCAATATGTTGCGTTTTATACCTTTCTCTTATGTGTCCTATATTGGCATGTGCTCAGTCAGTTTCGATTTTTATATTAACATGCCACTGCAAGTGGTTTCGAGTTCACACAATCTCTTTTCTTCCGATCCATAGACATTATCACATGAACACAAAATCTTGTAAAACCTTTATCCAGAAAGAGGATTTAAAATGCTTCGAATAAAATAAGTAATTAAAGAGAGTGTTAGTTTCTCTTTATATATTGGTCGAATGCTTCACTTTTCTTTAAATATAAGAACCAATTTTTCCATAAGCATTGTCAGAAAAATCAGCTTTACTAAAGCAATCGAATACACTAAAACCAAGATCGTGTAGACTATTTTAGTGCTGGTCTCCTTTTGTTTTATGAAAGTAGTTCGTCCCGGTTTTCGCAACGTGATCATGCTGTCACGCACTTGCTACACACAGACATATCGCCGACGTCGATATCGGCATCATCATTCAGCTTTGAAATTCCAAGCACCAAGCTACAACTCGTCAAAGAGACAAAGGAAGTCCATCCATTGAGCAACTTTCTGCCGTGGCCACTGAGTATTTACAGCATGTAAGGAAGATCCGACTAGTCGTTTGACATTTGTAATAATAAGTTCCAGCTATAACGAGGTAAAGGAAGATGCCTCGCGGACTGTGTTGACATGAAAGTCGCAGTCGGACAACTAAAACCGGCTTTCGTCTTCTGGTAGATGAATCTACGAATCTCTTCAACAAATACATTCACTTTAATTAAAAGTTATTACATTAAAACGAGGTTAAAGCAAACCTATACATCGAAAGAAGACTGTGATGAATGACCACATCCGCTTGGACTTCATATCTACCCATAAGGGGTGAAAAGATAACTTGATTTAGCTGACGAATTTCAATCCTTCATGCATCTTAGTATAATGTTCCCATCAAGGCAGTATCTTTTCTCCAAACCCTACTGAGACTACCAATCACTCCTTATGGGAATAGATTATATATCACTTGCCGGCATACATTACGAAAAAATAAGCATCCTATAAAGCTTTATGCTATATGATTCACCGTAATTTTCTCAACCTGAAGCCTGAGCCGAAAAATCTTGCACGCTATACTTAGATATGAAGATAAGCTTGGTTTTTAAAAATCATTTAATAGTTTTATTTTAGCGTAGTTTCCATCTCGTTTGAGAAGGCCTATGCAGGGGATTAGTAAACTGACTCCACAGGGATTCGAAGTAGTATTGCCTTATAGTTGTGATTACTGGATTCTGCGAAAAAGGCCTCGACCTCGATGAATCCCTGCTAAGCGACAAATATTCTTCCAACAAACTTTTCCTTCATAATGATTCAGATTGCACATAAGATAGGTTTGCCCCACGTTTCAGCCCGTAGACGAATGAGGGTGTATCGGAAACTGTGCCAATCTGAAATACCCAACAAAATGAAACGGCAGCAGATCAAGGAGAACCTTTAGTCAGATTCTGGTCAGATCGACTTAAGAAACTCTTCTTTACACATGTTCACTTAAAATGAAAGTCATGTAAATACCAGCAAGAGTATATTGTACACAAGAAGAAATATCCAGCAAAATCATGGAATGCAGCATTAAGATAGCAAAAGTAGGTATCATAAGTAAGTACCCGGCTCCCTATCTTGGTTTAATGAAAGGGGGCTTTTTTCATGAATGATGCTTTCTAGCTCTAACGATGTCTGTCAAGGCATCGAGGTTACAAGAAGGAGTGCTGATGATGTCTCCGCATAAATACATCATAACATCTTCATTACAATCCTCTCACCCATTAAAACGAAATGAAGGATACAGCATTATGAGGCCATTAGGGGATTTTTCCAATTTCAATTTCTCATGATCCCTTTGCAGTATTCACTTGGTTGCAACTGGCAGGAATCAAACTGCGAAGAACAGTTGGGTTTCGAGGAATCTCTTGTTTCACAATTTTTGAGGTTGATTCCATTTCGAGTGAAAGTCTTGGGTGAAGAGATCCTAATTACTTTGAGCCATCACTGTGGGTTTCGTTCATAAACGAACACAAACAGGCATATACAAATACAGAGACAGACACACTCACATGCATCGAAGTTGACATATGACCTTAACTAACCAAATCACTTTATACCACTTTTTAGGGATTTGCCGGTGAGTTTTATTGAATTTTTTTGTGACGATGATACCTTGCTCTGATGACTTCCGTCATATGACGGACGAAGTCTTAGCCTCTTCTCACCGGAATCTAAGCAGATCACCTCGAAAACAGCGTCAGCATGAATCTTCCAGTAAAGCCAATCGACAGCTGGTCAAGAGGAATCCGCCCTCTTCTTCTGGTGGAACCGACTTTCAAATCTCTTCACCCAACACTTTTACTCAAAATGGAAGTAAGCTCAACAATTATGAATCAAACTGTCAATAAAATACACCGTATCAGGCAGGGATGGCGACCATGTTTCCCCAGCATCCCAATAGAGCGCCAGCAGTGACAGAATGAAAACACCAGTCAAGTATTTACTTCAAGTCATCATGGTTGGCTTCACCAGCCGTGACAACAAGACTATACGACACTTTATTTTGGGCCTGACAAGTGCTGCTAGTTTCAGTGACATGTGGGGCGTAGATTCAGTCCTCGAAGACGCATGCTGAGCCCCAATCTGTGCCTATATCTGGCTTTTAGGCTTACCTAGCCACCACTCCGATCTGTAATCAAACTTTAACCTTTATATAATCGATTCAGTTATTTTAATAAACATGCCTCTTCCTTAAGGTTATGCTAATCCTCAAATATCCCAACCCCTCTTCATCTCGTTCAGCTCGGTTACTCGCATTTTTTCTTTTTTCTTTTCTCGCTCTCTGACACTTATTACTGATGGAGAAAGGTGAATAGAATCTGTCCATTCTTTCAAGGCTTTCTTTTTACTCCCCGTCTCCCCTCGTAACCGGTTGGCAGCAGGGCTGCGTGACTCCAACTTATCCCAGTTCTGGCTTACTTGATAAACATGACCAGACACTTATTTGCACCAGTCTTGCCTCGTGTCTTCTCCCTCATCCTTGTCGTCTTCTGCAACATCGTCTTGGCTTTCGGCGCTATGGTCGTTGAAGGTGGTGTTGATGACGATGTTGGGGTGACATTTGTCCTCTCATTCTCGGAACTTTGCAGATTCCAGACCGAGTTGACATCCTTCAATCATGTCTTATCAACTGGTCGAGCAGACGAACAGAAGGCATGCATTCTTTCGTTTGCAGCCCTTTGCAAGCGCACACACTGCACAAGCGAACATTCCTACACAAGCATTCACACAATTTCACCTTCTTACGCCATGATTATCAGAAACTAGAACCAATTTGATCGCTTTCTTAGCCTGACCTTTCAAACCTGCTTGATTGGATCAAGAGGTGCAAGTTTATTTGACTGCCAATCTATCGGTTAAAGGCATTTGAATAATAATACCCTGTCGGCTAAAGCAACATCTCGTCCTAATTTTGAAAAAAATTTACTCTTTTAGGCTATCTCAAAGATGATAAAACTGATAGGAAAACTGGAATACATAACCTCAACAGAAATTTTCTTATTCTCAACCATTCGAGAAGCCAAGGTAACTCATTCAAGACCGCCAGCTAGAAGGCCAACACAAGCATACATGCATACATACATCGTAACTGCATGCATAAACGCATACATACATAGATAAGTACACACTAGCAGATATAAACATACATACTTACGTATA